CAACGAGTCGCAACTCTGCTCGGAGTACACGCACCGAGTCCGAACAAGAGAGAGAGAGAGAGAGAGAGAGAGAGAGAGAGAGAGAGAGAGAGAGAGAATGAGTGAGCCGAGTCTCAGCTCAACGGACCGTGCTTCCGCAGCTACGGCACGGCTGTCGCGGCCCCTACGGTGACCTTTGATCTCTCATCCGACGCCATTTTGGTATGAATGTCTTATGGTGCATTCTGTGAGTGTTCTCGAGTGTGCACGGCTGTGCATGGTCGAGTACAGGTATCTCATCTTGAGGAAGTACGTCCGACAGAAGCTCTCATAGCGCCTGACGGGTAGGCCATACCTTGCCTGCATAACATGCGTGTACTGCGGGCTGGCCTACCCCGTGGCTCGCAGGCGCCCAGCCTCCGTCATTTTGCCGAGTCGAATCGGACGTACTTTCTGAACGGATGCCTACGTTCAGCATAGTTTTATCCGTAGACGAACTCGCAAGCACGCACGCACGCACGAAAAGCACGCAAGCAAGCTCGCACGCACGCACGAAAAGCACGCAAGCAAGCTCGCACGCACGCACGCACGCACGCACGCACGCATGCACGCACACACGCACGCACGCAAGTTTTCTCCCGCACGCTGGCATTACCTAAAATTATATATAACTCCGAACCGAAGTCCTTTCGGTACCGTTCTGAGTCTACTCACACCGGGTTCCGGCTAGCTCCCAGGCCATTTTTGCACGATCCCCTGCTGCTGGCGCCGAGGATCACCTGTTGAATAGCGAATATTCGCGAGACCTTGAGATAAATTTAAAAGGCTTGCGTCACGTTGCTTTAATTTTTGGCGACACCCCTGGCATTAATTTAGCATGTCTAGTCTAAATAACTCAAACTTCATGAAAAATAATGGTTGAACATTTGCATTATTGTATTATTTACTCCACACATTGGGTATAGGAGCCCTCAAGCAGCATGGTTTAAGCAAAACGACCTCAAAATTCAGTTGTGTTGATATTTGTTAGACATGAAAGCAATAATGCAAAGTAACAACATAATTTTGACAATAAATAATGGCCTCATTTTGATGTCGATTATTTAAATCCCTGCTGCTTGTGGGCTCCGTTTTGCACCCTCTTGCTTGCGTCGGGTAGGTTTACTTCCGCCCCCCCCCCCCTCTCCACCCGTGGCTATTCCGAGCGCCCTTTGACCCGTGATCGCTCCGACGAACTCTCGTTGCTCGGCGCCCTTTCATATCGCGTGGGGAGGAGACACTGGAAAAACTAACGTTACCGAGGTAACGTTTCTTGACGCGACCAAACCAGGTAACGTTTGGTGATGCAACCAGTTTGTGATGGCCCTATCCTTGTGCATGGGGTAGGTCGCGTCAGAAAACGTTACCGGTCTTGGTCACATGATGAAACGTTACCATGGTAACATTAGTTTTTCCAGTGGAGGCGCGCGGTGATGGGTAGGGTTGGAAACCCTAGAAAGTGGACGGAAAATTTCAGAAAAAAACGGAAAATTTTCCAGGCTTTGGAAGTTAGGAGTTTTTTGTGAACCTCCGGAAATTTTCGAGAAGTTTTCAGAAATTTTCCGGAAAATTCTGGAAATTTCCAACCCTAGCGGTGGGTGGGGCGGAAAAGAGATCTCTCGCGTCAGGGGGTAGCGCCGTGGCGCCAGGGCCGCCCTTCCCCCTTCCGGAGGCTGCGACGATACCCCGCACGCCCGTGACACTACCCCGCCCTGACTCTCCTTAGTGTAGCGCCCCTCTGGCCACCCCCCGCGACGGTAGGTCCAGCACGTCGGGCACCACCCACCCCAGCCAGCGCAGATACCCCGTCCCCCACCAACTCCCTTCGTCTAGTAGAGAGTATATCCAGGGATACACCCACCACAGTTACAATTTCATGCAAGAGTCCCCCAAGGTAGAGACCTGAAAAAAACCACAACAAAAACCAATTTGGCTGTTCACCGCGTAGTGCACACGCAAAACCAGAATGTTTTGTTTAGAAACATTTTAATTTGCAAATCCAGACGCAACAATAACTAACGCCACAACAAATTGGATGGAGAAAAAGAAATGATAGAATTAGCGGCATTGTTTAGTGTATGACCTGGCGCACGTCGCACGTATATTACTTCCATCGCTGCAGGCAACAGAAAGCGCATGAACCGATGTCAAAATATCAATAAAACGACATTATTTCGATGTCGGTAGACCAACTGCCCTTCCCCCTGTGTTGCTGGCCGGCATGTTATTGGTCGCGCTTCACACTCACATCTTGGCCGGACACACTACTTGTTGGCTGCAACTCCCGCTGCCCCCTTCACCTAGGGTTGGAAGCCCTTGAAAATTTCCGGAAAATTTCAGGAAAAATCGAAAAATTTCCTGGAAAAAATGAACAAAGAATCCAGACTTTTGAAATTTGTCTTTATTTTCCGGAAACTTTTGGGAATTTTCCGAAAATTTTGGGAAATTTTCCGGAAATTTTCAATCCACCCTCTCCGTCATAGCACAAGACCCCCACTGACACCCGCCCCCTCGCACTGCAGCAGGTGGCGACCAGGCGCTGCTCGGAGGTCGTCGGGCCCACCCAGCTGCCCCTCATCAACAGGCGCAAGTCGGAGCTGCCACCTCGGGTCAGCAAGGAGTTCGCCGAGGAGGTGGCGGCCCTGGCCCTGGAGGCGGCCAAGCGGGAGGCCAGCCGGGACGCGGGGATCGTGTGCTCCAACTCGGACCTGCTGCACCTGCTGGGCTCGCCGGAGTCCTCCGCGGCCCCCGTCGCCCCACCGCCGGCCCCCGCACCGGCGCCAGCCCCGGCGCCTCCACCGGCGACGACGCCTACGCGGCCGCGGCTAGCCATGCTCCGGGAGAACAGCGTGGAGGCCAAGGAGCAGCCCAAGAGCACGGTGCTCGTCAGCCTGCACGGCGAGCAGACGCACTCCAGCCTGGCGCCCGCCGTCGCCGTGGTCCCCGTCACCGCCACACCGGCGCCGGCCGCCGTCGGCGTCCTCGCGCGCCAGGAGCGCCCCGCCCCGGACGGCGTGGAGAACGACAAGGACAAGGCCGCAGCCTCGGGCGAGCGCCGCGACTCGGAGCGGCTCGTCTGGGACGAGCGGTCCGGGTCCGTCGTCGACGCCGGCATCCTGGGCTCGGCCATCGAGGGCTTCCTCAACAAGGGGGCGGCCTCGGACAAGGGCAGGAAGGGGTCCAACAGCGTGCATCGCGCCACGGCGCAGCTGTCGGCCTGGGTGACGGCCGTGGCCGTGTGGACGCCCAGGCCGGGGCAGCAGCAGCCGGCCACGTCGGCGACGGCGGCCTCGGCGCCCGCCCCACCGCAGCCGGGGGCGTCCGCAGGGACGCCGACGTCCACGCCCGAGGGCACGCCGCGTCGTCGCGGCAAGATGTCCTGTGACGCCGTCTGCAGCACGCTCAAGAGCCTCTTCATCAAGTAGAGAACTTGTGGTACAGCAGATTTGTTAGTGCAGCACTGCGATGACACCCTTTTAATAATTTCTTTACCTCCAAAACCCCCAGTTTTGATTAAGGACTAGCACGATCACCCTGTCTAAATTTGTTTCTAAACGTAGTACGGTAGGCCTCTTCGAAAATACGGTTCAAGTGCTGTGTGACGGATGCGTTTGGCCCCCTCAAACACGAGAATGGTTGTGAAACTTTGTATTGACGAGGGCGCGGAGGAGATACGCGTGTCCTAACTGAACCTAACTCCCCCACCCTCGTACCCTCACAAGCTAGCTGACTGCTCGTCTTGTCGTACGACATGTTCTTACTGTGGTTTCTGGGCAAAGTATATGCCTTGCATGAAACTATGCCCTCGGAAGAAAATATTGGAATCATTATTGCAAACCTTACGTCAGTCCAGAAACCAAAGTAACATTCCACATATGAAGCAGGATTTCCATGTCAAACAAATTACAATATTTATTTAATTAAAGTGAACTTTGAAAAGCACAATAGGAATGCCAATGAACGTTCATACCTAAGCTAGAATGATTAAACGAGCATTTTGCGGTAGCTAAGATTTAAATCCTAAAACAGATACGCAAAGGTCGGCGATGCCATTTGCGTGTTGATAATCGACTCATAAAACTGAATGGTACCTAAAATCTTTTTCTTTTTCTTTTAGAGGACTGTGTGTGATGAGTATATTTTGTGCGTTGGTGGTGTATTAGAAGTTCAGTCCAAGACCAGAAAAACTAGACAATCAAAACGATAACCACCTTCCCAAGATGAGTTGATACCACTTAAAGTAGGCGTAACGCCATCGCACTGCGTCCAATCTCGGATGGGGACTACCCCGGTGAAAGTCATAGCAATTTCAAGAAAAACTACGTTGTTACGGACCAAACCTGAGACCTGAATCGCCTAATTCTCTCCAGCAAGTCCTAACAACAGCTATTATAGTCTTCGCCGACTTGTAGAAATTTTGGTGGCAGGTGTTTCGTGGTGGACCAAACTGAAACCACGGAGCAATTTTACCACCAGGTAGGTCTATAGAATGAGTAGGTAAAAAATTATCAATTGAAAACATATTGCATGAGCTGACACACTGACACATTAAGTCACGCTCATAAAGAATCAATAATTCTATCAGTGGCACGTTGTAATATTCAAAATTATTGAGGGTACTTTTACAGATTGCATTTCTCAAGTCCTTGTAAATCATGGGAAGGCGGTTATTGCCGTCAGAGGTGTGAAAACTACTCGGTATCTGATGTCGTCTCGATGTCACATCGATTTCGATATCTCGCTGGGCACCTCTTTGGGGTCCAGAATCGTTATAAACCTAACATCCATTGAGGACAAGAATGAATATTTTACTTCCAATTTACATAGTTAACTTTCCAGGGAACTTTAACTAAACGAAAAGTAGCGATAAGCGATTTGCCATACTTTACAATGGAGGTAGATATTCCATCAGATTGTTTTTGACATGTTACGTCGAGGCAAACCTTCGGTAACAATAAGCCAATGTCCTTATGTGTGTATCTAGCTAGTATATTCAGTGTATTTTTTATTACAATACTGTTATTACCGTATTAAAAAAAAACTTTGCTTTCGGTGTCAAAGCAAATCTTTTGTGTCGATTTGACAAATTTGTTGTTATTAGAAATATCAAACATTCTTAGAAAAACGCCGTTACTTCAACCTGCCCTAAAGTGGGATTATAATCAAAACCATAGTCGTGTGTGTGTCAATATTTCCTGACAATCTAATTTTCATAAAGCTGATTCTGTTTGTCTAAGACAGTTATTTTATTAATGAAATTTATCTTGGTGGCTGGCCCCCTTTATTTTCACAAATTAAACTATATTTTAACGTTATTATTTTTTACTCAAGAATGTATATTGAAGGTTTGTTTCAAAATACAAGCTACTACAACATGCAGTCGAATCTTTCTACTGGGCCAGGTGACAGATCCTCGTTGTGAAAGGCATGCTTTAAAAGTAGATCGTTAAGTTTGTGTTGTGATATGTTGTATACCTGAAAATTATTTGTATCGAAGAGAGTGGAAAAGTGCCGTGAAAAATTGTTTAAACAAATTTAGTGCCTGGCCTGAAGATTCGGCCGTTTTGAAGAATCTAAGTTTTGAGAATCTCTTTTAAGTGAGCAAGTAAAAGAATGAATGCAAACTGCGTCTTAGCCCGATGGGGGCTGCTCATCCAGAAAGTACGTCCGTCTTTCCCTGTTACGCAAATGAAAAATTGGGTAAATGCAAACTATCATAGCACCTGCTAGGTAGGCAACGTCTTGCCTGCAGTGCATTCGTGTATCGCGGGGTGGCCTACCCTGTGTCTCGCAGGCGCCGAGCAAACACCCGTAATTTGCTGAATCAATCTTTAAAAAAACAACAACAAACACACAAAAAACGGACGTAATTTCTGGACAAACTCAAAGACACGGTGTTGCCTGGCCACTTTTAAAGGGTATTTTAAGGGAAGAAGAGTTTCTGCACACCCACTACCGATGTATTTTTTTGCGCCCGATCTTCTGGCACGAGCATTTAACTTCATTTCGGAAAAGACTAGTGCCGCTGCAGATACGGCAAAACAGCGCATCTTAATAAGTTTAAGGTAAATGTGGTCCATTAACTGTTTTATTACGTAAGGTCATGACTGAAAATGTTATGAAAGTATATTTGGGATGAGAGAATAATTAAATCATCAATGGAGAGACAAGGATTGATTTTACGTCTTTGCACGGTCTGAATAAAGGCCAAAGCACGTAGAAAGTGTTTCTGGTTACCTAAGTGTCACAGGACTATGCAATTAGGAGATTTTAAGAAAATTATTCTTTGTGCCCACGGGCGTCTACTAAAGCTTCCATTCTTCATTATTCAAAGAACGGATTCAAACCTGAAAATAGAAACCTTATTCCATGGAGTAAACAATGTACCTGCTTGCATTAATTTTTACCGTAAATGTACCTGATTTCAATAAATGACGTAGTTCTATTTTTCACCATAAAACTTTCCAGTGGAGTAGTGTATGCCAAACGAAAGAGAAATGCGGACTTCACGAATTGATGAAACTGACATTTACACAGATTTAGACACGGTGACGTCAAAATAAGATCCAGGCAATCAATTTCTTGTGTAAAACCGTAGCGCACATCGGAGTCTTGTAAAAAAATTCGAAAGGAAAATCCATTAAGTATCTTGACCGGCAACACTGAAAAAAAAACTAACAAAGGTTCTATATAACACCTTTCATAGGTGCTACTACAGTAGTGCCTCTGAAAAGGGTATTGCCGAAAAGAGCACACTTAGCACCGTTGCAAAACTACTATTTCACTAACGCCCCTAAAAAGGCAGTAGATGCCCCCTTAGTTTTTCCAGTAAAATCTATGCAATTTTAATATTATTTCGAATTGATTGTAAGTTTCTGACACGGGTAAAGATTATAAGGCACAATGTTGAAAAAGTCTACGACATTTTTAAAGTTTAGTCGACGATCAGTATCGTCGTTCTGGTAAAATAATTGAACCGTATTGAAGTAAAATGATATTACTGTAGTACAGAAACAACGGGATTCTCTTTCATTCCAAGTAGTGTGTACGTCAAGTGAGCAACCTCGCTAGTTATGCTTCGCCATTTCGATCATGCAAGGCAAATCAATAATTTACTTGCAGGGAGTTAAAATAAAAACAAACATTTGTGTTTTCGCTATACAAGTCAAGTCTGACGTCACCGTGACCAATGTGTTTTATCTTGGGTGTTAACACCAAACCAAAACATCCGACATTTTATTGTTTCATAAAAACATATGAATCTTCTTGATTAGGTTTTCGACTGGTGCATCGACACACATTCTGATAACATATAGAGAATAGTTCCCACGCATGTACCTGCATGAAAGGATGCTAGTACCCTTGAAATTTTGACAATATTAATATCTCAAGTCCTTGTCTAAAAACTCTTTACGTACGTTCATGTAGATGTGTGACATTATAGTCGATTATAGTTGTAAATTCTGTAATTTTTGTACACTGTTCCAATTTTCTTTCTCTTCCCGAAAATCATGAAAGGCTGATTGATTTAATATCGACTCGAATTGGGACTGAAGCTGCAGGAGGGGCATTTGTCGAAAAAAACCTGACTTTTAAGACAGAAATAAAGTTATTGTGTATGAGATATAAAGCCATAATAAGGGGGAACTCATCTCTGCAGCAGCACATAGAAAAGCCTAATTTTGTTTAAATATCAAGCATTTCAAAAATGCCATGTACAAAAATTATAACTATTATTACCTGTATATATATTTGTACTACTGTGTTAGTAGATATGTTATTTTAGATCTCGTTTCATGTTTCAAACAATTTTGTGTGATTTTTGCAGAGTAGTGTTACATGTACCCCATGTAGTAAAACATTATTGTAAAAGAATCAATGCTAAAATCCAGGTTGTACCATTTCACTTATTTTTCCTTCATATTTTGACAGAGAGGGTCAGTGAATGACAAATACAAATTATGGAAAATGAAAAGCAGTCGTTTCCTTAAAACTTGGTTATTAAGCGGCTGTACACGAGGTGCACATTTAATTTTATGTGCCTCGGGTTTTCGTCCTCTCCTTTTTTGCGTTCTTATCTGGCCAAGATAAGGCCAGATCTGACATTTCGCTGGCTTGTGCTAGTGCAAGTCCGCGGCCGGAGCCTTTTTTTTTTTTTTTTTGATAAGCCAGTCAGCCTGTCGGGCGTACAGTGGAGGAGTTGGGACGCACCAGGCACGACGCCAGCCGCAACCAGGCCGGTCGGACCGGTCGCGGACCCAGTCGGACCCAGTCGGACCGGCGAGGATGGGCACAGCGGGCGTCGTCGTCGCGGAGGAGCAGGGGGATTCGCTGCGGGAGCTGGTCGCCGACGAGGAGGTCGAGTGCCTGCTGGAGGCCCTCCGCAAGGACTTCCCCCACTCTGTTCACGTAAGTAGTCTGCTGAACCGCATCATATGCGTTCCATAGCTCTCCCCC